GTTTAAGAACATCTGTCCCATTTTGATTTGATGCTTTAAGAGTTAATCCAGCTTGTTGTGTGACTTTGGGGTTTTTCTAACGCTTTAAATATGGGATCAATACAAAGCTTTTAATTGTGTACACTGCATCTATGAAAAAGTACTCTTTGGTTTGGATTTTTGTTTTTGATTTTTTTTTCATATTCACTGCCTGTTTGCAAGATTGTAATCAAGAAGAAGAATTTGTAAAGGTCTTATAAAATGAGAACGTTGATTAACCCTAAAGAAATTTTCTGTTTGTTATTTCTAGTAGATTTTCCTGTACATAAAACATGGCCCTGTGATGGACTTGCGACCTGTCCAGGGTGTACCCTGCCCCTTGCACTGTGACTGCTGGATATGGGCACCAGTGACCCTCATGACCCTGAAAGGAATAAGCAGTTATAGATAATGGATGGATGGATAAATCATGGTTTCAAACTAACTAACTAAATGCCTACCATTCTTAGTTGTAGGATTTTCCTGTTGTAACTCTGTTTTTGAGAAAAATCTTATTTGCCTCTGTCACGAGTAGTTTTTGAATTGTGAAACTATAGCAACAAATTATTTTGATGCACAAATCCATATGATTTGATACATGCAAATGTAAATAAAGCAGTTTTCTCATCCAGCTTATCTTGAAGTAAACTTTATTGAGCAAACTCTCCAAAGTATTACTAAACAGCAAAAGTAAAACTTACAATTTTCTAAATCAAAAGCTCAAACAAAATGTGCAAATTTTACTAATACTTTTTACTTTATTAAGTCTGTAGAATAAGGCATTTTAACTTTTTTTATTTGAAATTTTACTTGGCCAAGATGACATTTTTTGTTGAAATACTGGCATTTTCCAAAGAGTTTGAACAGCTTGTGTTTATAAAGTCAAAGTAAAAGTAAATGAAACACCAGTTGTGCCTGCAAAACAAATCCTGTTGAACATGTCTGACCTGAGTCTAACAAGTTTGAAGGCTGAGGTTGGACCCATGAATTAGGCAGAACGTAAGTTACACTGTAGGTTCTGTGAATTCCTGGATGACTGCCAGTGGCAGTTAAAGTGGATATGTCCTCTTGCGCTCTGCGCAGGTCGAGATTTAATGTAAACAAAGTCACGTACGTGACACGTAGCTCACCTGAGTGTGAGTCTATAAATAGCACACAGGTGGTTATGTTTGGTCTCCTAGGATCTTCTCGCTGGAAGAAGTTCCAAGTGACCAGTACTTGTGACAGGCAGTCATCCAGGAATTCACAAAACCTTAGTTACAGTGTAACTTCCTTCTGTTTCATTCCTTCCTGACTGTCAGTGGCAGTTAAACAAAGTGGATGACTTATGCCAGCAATGTCACGAGGAACGCAGTACTCACCCACCTTAGGAGGAAGAGGAAGCAGAGGTAGGATCGCTGCGGCAAGTGTGGACTTGTGGCCCATATTAAGGTGGTAGAAACGTGCAAATGTGCATGGTGTAGCCCAGGACGCTGCCGCACAGATGTCCTCCAGTGGCACGCCCCTCATCGCCGCCCAAGATGTAGACACACTCCTGGTAGAGTGGCATACAATCACAGAGGGGGCAGCAGCCCCCACAGATTTATAAGCTAGCGCAGTGGCAACAACAACCCAATGTGACAGCCTGTGTTTTGACAGGGCTCGCCCCTTGTTCTTCCCACCATGGCACACAAACAGCTGGTCTGATCGCTGAATAGCCCTCGTAGCCACGATGTACAGCTGCAATGCCCGAAATGGGCACAGCATGTTTGCCAACCTCTGTTCCTCAGAGTGGAACAGGGGAGGACAGTATGCCCCCAGCTCGATGGCTGTGTTTACATAGCCCAGAGGCAGAACTTTGGAAAGAAAGGTGATGTTCGGCCATAATGTTACCCCCGACCCGTCTGCCTTCCAGCGCAGGCAGGTAGGGGTGATTGCAAGAGCATGGAGCTCACTGACTCATTTCGCTGTTGTCACTGCTAAAAGGAAGGCAGTTTTCATAGACACCAGATTTAGTGGGGGAAACTGTGTCACCCAATAGTGTGCCCCTACTCGTCTGCCATCAATATCCCCATAATTAGCTGAAATGGCAGCTAAGTGCACCTTCAGGGTTGATGCAGTCCGTCCAGCATCGAACAGACACTGTAGGAACCTCAGGATGTCCTGCAGGGAACAAGAAACTGGATCCACCCCCTTGTGCCTGCACCACTCTGAAAAACACCGCCAACAATGAGTGTAAGTCCTCATCGTCACAGAAGGCGCTCTGGCATTCTAAATTGTTTGCTGAATGGAAGGCTCCAGACCTGCTAGTGGCTGCCAGCCCGCCTCAGTGGCCACACAGAGAGGAGAAGGTGACCTGGAGACGGATGCCAGACCTTCCCTTCCATCTGGGATAAGAGGTCCCCCCTGACCGGAAGCCATGGCTCCCCATCCAGCAGACTGAGGAGCAGTGGGAACCAGACTCTCATGGGCCACTCGGGAGCCACCAGTAGAACTCTCTGAGTCATCTGTCTTACCTGGTGGAGCGTGGGCTGAAGCAGTAGAAATGGGGGAAAGGCAAACAGCAGACTTGCGGGCCACATGTTGGCAAGGGCATCCATCCCCAGCGGGGAGTTGACCTCTGCCAGGGAAAACCACAAGGGGCATTGTGTATTGCTCTTTGAGGCAAATAGACCCACTTGGGCCCTGCCAAACCGATCCCAGATCCTCTGAACCACCTGAGGATGCAGCCTCCATTCCCCTGGAGGAAGCCTCTGGCAGGACAGATAGTCTGCGACAGAGTTCCTCATCCCCGACAAATGCATTGCTCTGACGGAGGCAAATCGAGGGTATGCCCAGGTCCACAGCCTCTCAGCCTCCCTCAGGGATTGCAGTGACCTGGTCCCACCCTGATGGTTGACATGGAACACTGCTGAGGTGCTGTCTGTTCAAATAAGCACATTTGCCCTCGAGAAAGGCAGAGAAGTGCTTCAGCACTAAATAAATCATCCTTGACTCTAGGATATTGATGTGAAGATGTCTCTGTTGAGAGTTCCATCGTCCTTGAACAGACCTGCACTGCCACACTGCCCCCCACCCCTGGGGCGATGCATCTGTTGTCACCACCTCACATCTCGCTGGGACTGCACCAAGGGGGACCCCGTGCTGTAGCCACGTACTCTCTCTCTCCAACGACGGAGAAGAGCTGCGCAGCTGGGTTTAACCCGCACCTTGACCCACCATTGCAACCGGGGGTCCTTGTGGAGGCCATTGAACCACCTCTGCAAGGGCCAAAGATGAATCAGCCCCAGAGGCATCAAAGCTGAGGCGGCCGACAACATCCTCAACAGTCTCAGCCATTGTTAGACCGGGGGTGCTGCTCCCACATGAAAAGACTGGAGCAGAGACCGGATCCTGTCTACTCTCTCTGGGGTCGGTTGAGCCAGCAAGGCCACCGAATCCAGGGCTATGCCAATAAAGATCGCCTGCTGAGTCGGGACCAGAGAACTGTTCTGGTGGTTCATGGTCATTCCCAGGGCCTCGGCATGGGCCAGAATTTTGGACATTGCCTGATCTGCCTCCTGCGATGATGGGGAGCAGACTAGCCAGTCATCGATGTAAGGCAGGATTTTTAATTCTGACAAGCACAGAGGGATCAAGACTGCTTTCATGCACCTCATGAAGATCCGAGGGGCCAGGGAGAGTCCGAATGGAAGAACCGTAAAATGATAGACAACGCCACAGTAGGCAAACCGCAGGTACTTCCTGTGTTCTGGGTGGATTGGGATATGGAAGTACGCGTCCTTTAAATCTATCAAGGTGAACCACTCTCCTCAACTGATTGCCTGAAGCATGTCACGTGTGGAGCAGGTGAAACGGTAGAACCTTCAAAAAACGGTTCAGCCCCCTGAGGTCCAACACTGGCCGCAGGGAAGCGTCCTTTTTGGGGATTAGGAAATAGGTTGAATAAAACCTGTCGGCCCGTAAATGTGGCGGAACCACCACTATGACCTTTTTTTCTAGGAGGGTTTCTATTTCCTGCAACAAGTCCAAAGCTTGTGCTGGATCTGTGACAGA